CTCAAACATCTTCGGATTTCTCTTGGGCTTGCCCTCACCAGTTGAGGCAATATATTGCTTTGCCCACCTCTCTACCTAAGAAAAGCGTAGGATTCGTAATCCCCTCCAAGTTATAGGAAAACTAATATTGATATACAGCTCCTTTAAGCATATATTAGGTTTCAATACAACTATACAAGCATATAAAGTAAATCTTCGCATTCGATTCAGAGAAACACATTTATGCACCTGCCGTTTACAATAGTTGTTACGATGCCCATATTTTCCTAGACCAATGGCATCAACATCAGCAGAATGTAGGGATGCTAAAGCTCTTGCAGTTGCTTGGTAAAGTAGCCTCCTCCTCTCAGGTGCTACACCCTGATCAAAAGCAAATTTAACAAATTATAATCAAATAATCAAATTTAAATAGGGCAAAACAAAAAAATGAACCGCCACTAAATCTATAACACCAATTTAATACAAACATTAAGATAACTTGACAGAGTAAATTGGTACCGGAAGCTTGGCGTCGAGAAAAATGCGCCCTTCCAGAAACTCCATGATGTAAAAGGGGGTTCCGATAACACTTGAATCGGTACACAAACAATAAACTTTAGGAACAGGAACCAGTGTATGAGTACCCAATGCCTGAAGAACCTGTAATTCGAAACAGAAAGGATTAAAAAATGAACCCTTTTTCAGCCAACAGCAAATCATCTAACATAAATTCTTTAATTTTGATTACTATGGAACATCAGTCACACAAAAAAAAAAACTACGTTTCCTACAATTTCAATCTAGCCAACCAAACAGAGCAGATAGGATTGTCGAGTCAGAAAATAACAAGGAGAGAAGAGGAAAGCTGACCTGGAACTCTCTCTCGACGGCATGAGCAGACTGGAGCAACCTCCCCGGCGGCTTCTTCCTCAAAACGTAGCGTTTCAGAGACGCCCCCGATCCTGCCTCTATCTTATAAGTCGGATTCGATTGTCCATGCCCGAACTATCATTTCGTAATTCACAATCCGAAATCAAAATCCAGAAAATGCATGCACACAATACATATATACACCTATATATATAGAGAGAGGGAGAGAGAGAGAACCTTAGAGACAGTGAAATTGGAGGAAGAGGGGGGAAAGCCATGAACGTTGGCGGAGGCGTAGGATAGCAAGGCGTTGAGGTCGAAATCGAGAGGCGTACGGCCATGATCCATTTCGAACAAAGTTCAAACCCTTCGAATTAAATGGTGTCGTTTCAGTCTTCTTTTTCTTCGTCTGCTCTGGCTCTGGCCGCTGTCATTTGCCTCGCAAAATTCAACGATGATTACATCAGAGGACCAGGAAAATTTACACCCTCCAGCACAGGATTAAGGTACTCGCCCCTGGGTTTCAGGGATTTATGCACGTGGCCGTTTTACGAGCTGCGTTGAATTTAGTGGGCGCGTGGCACTATGGACGAAACGCGAGGGAGAAAAGGATATACCGAAATAACGAAGAAAGGACAGAAATGGCAATGCATTGGATCTCTTGGGAGAAAATGAAAAAGAAGGAAGAAGATGGGAGGGCTTGGGTTTAAGGACGTATTGTCTTTTGTCTTTTAACATAGCTTGTTTAGCGAAGATTGGGTAGCGAATATTGCATAATCCTAGTACGTTGTTAGGACAAATTCTTTAAGCAAAATATTTTTTGGATCAGTCGTTTATGGAGGCCAAGTTGGGTAGAAGGTCCTTGTGGGGGTGGAGGGGCATCATTCAGGTAAGGGCGGTACTAGAGAGAGGTATGACATGGCGGGTTGGCTATGGTAAGTGTATTCGAGTTAGTCATGACCTTTGGCTTCCACGGCCTCACACTAATAGAGTTCGATTGAAACATAATGAGATGCCTGTGATGGTGAGGGAATTGAATGATTCAGAGGTGGGGGCTTGGAAGGTAGACTTGATTCGACGGTGTTTTGAGGAGGAGGGCAATCTTATTCTTGGTTTACCAATAAGTTTAGTGGGGTGTAAGGATAGAGTCATATGGCACTACTCTAGAAATGGGAATTATACCATTCGTACAGGGTACGGAGTTGCCATGGAGATGTAGAAAAATGGGGAACTTGGTAGGAAAGGGACAAGGGGTGGTAGTCGGCAAGATGAGGTTGACTATTGTTGACAGGATGTTTGGAGGTTCGTAGTGCCAAATAAAATGAAGCTTTTTATTTGGCGTTGCTTCAACAAATCCTTAGCAGTGCAGGTTAATCTTCTTCGATGACGGATGCGAGTGGACAGTTCATGTGTTATGTGTGAAGCAGCGGAGGAGACAGACCTTGTTTTTTGAATGTGAGTTTAGCCGTGTGTTATGGTACTGCTGCTCTTTGCAACTAGACATGAAGTCTATCTCAAGGTAAGATTTTCGTGAGTCTTGGCAAGGGTTATATGCTTGATTTCGGGACGAAGATAGACAAGAGGAGCTTTTACAGGAGTGTGTTTTTGTTATGTGGAGAATTTGGAAGAGTCGAAATGAGATGGTGTATAAAGGAGTGTTGACTAATCCCATGAAGGGGGTTAATTTGGTGAGGCAGCAAATTATTGAATTCAGAGCATGCCATAATTCTAAAAAGCAAGTTGTTGTCCGTTGTGAGGATGGGGATGGAGCTATCTTTGTTAGACAATCAGTTCGATGGAGGTGGCCAAATTATGGTGTGCTTAAGATTAACTATGACGGTGCATGATGTGGGAAGACACTCAAAGGAGGATATAGGTGGGTTATGATGGATTTTGTCGAATTGCAGCAAGCGGAAGGTGGGGAAGGAGGCCTATTTTTCTATAATGTGGCAATGGCAGAAGCAGCTGCAATTTGTGCGGCGTTAGTGGTATGTATTGAGATGGGTTGTGATGAAGTGGAGATTGAGTCCGACTCTAAGGTGATAATTAGTATGCTTAATGGGGAGTATGTGGTAGATGCTACTGTGGAGTGTTTTATCCATGATATTGGTCATTTGGCATGTCCATTAAGAGGGGTGAGATTTGTGTTTGTCAAGCGAAATGGAAATGCTACTGCTCATGCTATAATCTCATATGTTGCCTCGCATGGAGGTGCTTTCTGTTCGGATGCTCTTGGTCCGGAGTTTTTATTTAGTATTCTTACTGAAGATGTAAACGTTTCTATTAGAATTTAATAAAAGTTGTCATTTGACCAAAAAAAGGATATACTGATTTGGGTACATTACGTCAAAAAGGGACATTTTACCGGTAGGGTGGGCTCTACTATTATAATGATTTGATGTATTATCACATTATACGTCATATTTTGAATATTGATGTCTATCTATGTGATCAACTTCCAAATATAGCGTTAGTTCCTTAAATGTTAAGTTAGTTACCGACGAAGTTCGAATTCACACCATCATGCAAGGGCATAATATTTTTTCACCACTGTGATAAAAAGGGTTACTTACGATCAACTCCCGACTTAACACTTCTAAATAAAATTGAAAAAAAAATAAAAAATAAAAAAAATAAATAAACCCTACCGCAGCACAGCCCAGCGGCGGCAACCAAAAAAAATCCAGTTTTCACTATGAGACCCTCAAAAGAAGAATTTACGTAACGAAAAACCCCAGTGATCAATTCAAGTCCTCGATGTGAGTGACCAAATCTTGACAGAAATTTGGGGACTTGTGCCGTGTTCCATTGGCTGATGCCATTGGGATTGAGAAGTGTAGAGAGTTTGCTCTTCGCAAATTCCTTTTCTTCCAAACTTGTAAGGTGTTACCAATTTTTTTTTGAATTATGGACGGATAAAATTTATGAACTTATTATCCTTTGCTTCAATCTCAGAGAATCCAATATTATGAAAACAGTCTGGATGAAAAATGAAAACTAAAGTATGCTTTTCCCAATAAAAAAACGTGAAACCTTTGCTAATTCCACGATTCCATGACCCTCACACACCAAATAAGACAATGCAGTGCAACTCAACAAGGACAACCTCGTTGGCCCAAAAAACCAAAACAAGGACAACCTCAAAATCCCATGATCCCACCAGGTCTTATATTAAAAGACATCAAAATCAGTTCGAAGTCATTGTCAACTCGTTATCACCCTTTTTATTGTCAACCTCTTATCTCCCTTTTTAAATAACAATAAATAAGCATGGAAGTCGACTCTTTAAGTATTGGTCAAGACCAACACTTAATTATAAAAATTTAGAAGGGTAATTGGCTAAAATGAAAGTTTAGAGGGATGACGAATTATAGAAATGTGGAGGTAATAAGCTAAAATTAATGTTCACGAAAAAATTGACAGCTCATTACAAGTTCGTGAGAATTCGACAAATACCTAAAAAATAAATAAAGAGACCGTTGGCTGGTTGATGGTGGGGTTGGGTCATAGGAGCCTGCCAAGGTTAGGGAGTTAGCTGATAGAATTTTTCTTTTAAATTTTTAATTCTTCATGTTTCGTTTTTGCATTTTTCATTGTTTGTTTTAATTCTTAATTTTATTTAGAACTAAAAGTGTTAAGTTGTTAAGATAAAGAGAGAAGGAGAGAAAGGGTAGGAAGGAGAAGAAAGAGGTAGAGAAAAGGATGAAAAAGAAAAAAAGAAGAGAAAAAGGAGCAGTACAAATAAGGAGATAGAGAATTATTTTTTAATTATAATTATAGAAGGGTAAAATTATAAATGTAAAAGTAATTAAGAAAACGATCCTGATATTTCTGCTATATAGATAAGTTTTGTCCCTCTCTCTAAAATAAATAAAAAAACTTAACTTATCCTCTCTCCAAATTTAGTCTAATAATTTGGATGTATGTGTAATTTGATCCTTAAAAATAAACAGGAATTTTCAATATTTTTAATCAACGGATTGTTAATCAGAAAGATGTTTCTACTGTCCTTCCAGGCCGTTTGAGACTATTTTTATACGTTTGTTCATGAACACTTTTTAGAGTGATTTTTCTAGAAGTGCTTTCCAAAAAAGCATGGATCCAAAAAGCACTTGCATAATCTAGAAGCATTTTATGTTTTTCGCTATATATAATATGAAGCGCTTTTCATTAACCAATACATGATTCAAAGTCGCAGTCTCACAAGATAAACATCTAATGTTGATTAAACGAACATTGATTGGAATGTGTCAAACTACACGAAGGACTGAAATTTCAGAGGTCCATGACCCAGAGATTCAGTACCAAAATATCAACTTATTGAAGGTAGACCACGGCGTTTGGATTTCTTTTACCACACATTACAAAGGTCCAAGGGAAATTACAACAACTTAAACCAAACGAGAAGAAATAACAAGGTCCTGTCGATAGCAGTTAGACAGGATCGGCAACACCAGAAACAAATGCATACTGAAGCGATAACAAGCAGACAGACAGCTTCATTGGCACATATTACAGTTCAATGCTGCTCTTCAACGGCCAGCGGAATGGATTTCACCTGGAAGATGATGAAAATGCGGTCAGCAGCATATCAAGGAAAGAGATGTATACCATTTCAATTCAATCAACTCTCTTTAAACATATAAGAGTCGAATCTGCAAGGTGCAGTAATTAATCAATTCATAAGTTTTTTTTTAAGTTATACTATTAAATAAAACTAATTCATGAGTTATACGGAATCCATGGAATGCCAGTGCCATTTTGTGCATGAAGCAATACTAGGAAGGATATTATCAGATTACTAACCAGATTTCGGTACTTGAGAATGTAAAACATCTCCAGATATCGCCTTGTCTCTCGCCTCTCAAGCTTAGACACATGCTTCCAGAAGCCATAAACCCCAGCTAATGTGAGCAGCCTCTCTGAATATATCTTCCAAGTGTACCTACAGAATTGAGCTTGAGATTAATTACACTGAGGTTGACAAAGATTGTCTTTTCAAAAGTCTGCCAAAAACATATGAAACCTTTCATAAATTCGTTTAAGTCCCGCTTGAGATATCTTTTCCCAGTGGCCAGGATCCTTCTGGCACTGATCAAAGAAGTCAATCAGAAGTTCAGCCACTTGATCAGGGTTATACGGATCAACATGGAACCCAGAGGAACCGTGCTCAATGATCTCAGCAGGGCCACCATGACAAGTTGCAAAAGTAGGAAGGCCACAGGTCATGGCTTCCACGACGGTGAGGCCAAAAGCTTCATAGAAAGCAGGCTGAAAAGGATAAGAAGATGGGTTAAAAAAAAAATGGAATTTTAACACTAGAATAAACCATCATATATCTACTTCACATACCTGCACAAAGACGCCTTTTGTGTCTGCAATGTAGCGGTAGAGCTCACCATTACGAGCACGGTTCATCTGTGCTGCTATCCATCGGAACTGACCACTCAAGTTGTATTTCTTAATGAGGTCATGCATTTTTTCAACCTCTGCAATTTCTTCTCTATCCCTAGAGTTCTTGACATCCAAGTAACCACCAACCACAACAAGGTTTACCATTTCTCGTAGCTTGGCGCTCTTAGCATAGCACTCAACAAGTCCAGTTAAATTTTTCACTCTATCAAGTCTTGCCATGGAAAAGACAATAGGCTTTGAACTATCACTCAACAGCCCACTGCATCACCATCAAACGAGTATCAGACGATTGAGTGATGAAAATGAAGTACATTTAAGTTGCAACCCTGATATCTACAAAATCTCAATGCCACTCAAAAGAGGCTTAAATTGTTTTTCAGAAGTTCTTTACTTAACATTAGAAGATACTCACATATGCTCGTCGTTCTGCTCAGCACCATATAAGAGTTCTTCAATTGAACCATGTAGAGCAGTAAGCCTTTTTTCCTTGTCAGAACATGGAAAGTATATACACATATCTGCTCCTGGGGAGACGATATTAAACTTGGGATCAAAAACATCAATTCCGTGGACAACTCGATACAGCCCAGGAAGAGTGAAGGCAGTGTGGCTCTCATACTGTCCAACGTTATTCTTGCTGAGATAATGAACAAGAATATTAATGTTTAGTGCAAGAAACAAAAGTGACTAGAATCCAGGGAGAAGAATAATGGGCCACGTGCTGCAACTTCATTGTGACAGATAAGCCTTTGAACTTGTTAACCATAAATGAAACTTACATCGTATGACTACATTTCAAGTGATAAACTAGGTCGTAGATTAAAAAGAACTAGACGAACAATATAGTGAATTCATGTTTCCAAAGAACTAGACGAACAATCAAACCTTCCAGCAATCTCTTGGTATGTACTGGTGATTATGAAATCTGCATTGTTCATTGCAATGAGATCGGCTGTGAATTGACTTGAAAAATGGTACTTATCCTCATGCTTCTTCCAAAATATATCAGAATCTGGGTACTTTGTTTTCTCCAATGCATGAGCAATGTTGCACTACATGGAGCATTCAGTTTTGACAAGTTAACTCCAATATATGCACACTGTTATTCCACCAATCTTTGTCTTGCATCTGAAATAATGAATAAAAAACTAAAATTCACCTGTGTGATTCCCAGTTTATAAGATAACAGAGTTGCAACAAGATTTCCATCACTATAGTTTCCAATGATTAGATCTGGAACACCTTGCAACTCAGCGGCAATTTCATTCGAGGCATCCTAGAAATCGCACAATACGAGAAAAAGAGTATGTTATATAACCCGTAAGTAGTTATTAAGAACCCAACAGTGTGCATCATAAAAGTGAAGTACTCGAGCAGTGAAAAAGGGGACAGAAAAAGGAATAAGGGGAGATTAAACAAGAGCACACCCAAAAAGAACAAGAAAACAAGTTATATACTTTTGACTGCTTACCTCTGCAAAGGTCTCCAAGTAAGGCCACACATCAAACCTTGAAATCCATTTCCGCAGTATCCCATTCTCAGTCCTGAAAGGTACCCGCAAGATATGTGTGTATTCTGTACCACTGACTCTTTCCAATCTTTGGTTGCATGTTGTCCCTTTTGCATCCGGTATCAGTCGGGTAACCTACCATCATCAAGTAAAAGGACAGGACACCGTATAAAATATACACGACACCTTATGTCAACTAATATAGCATGAACTTTCAGTTAAGCAAACTTACAATCAGAATTTTTGGAATGACATCCAATCCTTGATTTTGTATTCTAAGAAGCATCTCACTCTCCAGGGCCCGCACTTGATCCAGTATATAAACGACCTGCCATCAGTAATAAAAGATACAACATTTTCATGGGTTCAGGACAAGAAGATTCGTAAACTATTGGACCTATTGATATTCTAGCAGACATATATAAAGATGTAGGAAAGGAGGAACCCAAAACAAACAAATAGTCAGAAGTAAGCAATACCTGCCCTCCGGTGTCAGGCAAACCCAAGACGTTAGCTTGGCCAAAGTAACCGTGTGGCGACACTATGACAACATTGAACACCATAGGGATCCTCCCAAGAAAATTTTCCAGGGTAGAGGGATCTGGAGCCTGAAGAATTTCCAAGAGAAGATGCACCATCTCTGACACCCGTTGTGCTGTGTCACCCCACCCTCTCTCAAATCCCATTCCTTGTAAGCTGCACACAGTGTAAAGAAGATTAAAGGTACCATCTAAAGCAATCATATTATCCCTCCAAGGATTGGAAAGTGTTGAATTAGATCATTCGCTCACTCAAATTCAAATTCAGAATATGGTGTAGTTGCCGGGAACTTAGAAAGATATTCCTCTGCCTTTGCTAAAGCAGACTGAAGTCTGGGTATGCTCTGAATCCGATCGTTTAGCATCATTGCCTACACAAAATTTTACAACTAATATCATTCAGTCCAAAGGTACGAGTATTTCACAACCTTATTGTCATATTACTTCAAATATGGCTTTAGCTCTTACAGTAAATCTGAATGCAAGAGAAAACATGCACGACCAGTAAAATAAACCAAAAGAATTTGCATGATGACTGAAAAAGTGGAATGTTCATTCATGCAAAGCCCATAGCAAACTCAAACTTACATGTCCATCATGTTTGTGTGTACGAAGAAAATCGAGAAGAGGCTCCAAACTTTCTTTGTTACGGAACATAACTGAAGACAAGTGGCGGTTAAGAAATTGAACCCCATTTCCAATTGATGACGAGCGGGTTGGTCGAGGGAACGATGCATTAAATGGCTCCAGATCAAGTTCAAGCACATACTTATCGTTGCACCTAGGACAATGATTTCATTTCAAGACTGCATTAATGTATAATTGAATTGAAAGAACAAATAAAAACTGTCTAGTTCTCCAGATAAGTAAGTTGAAAGACTCGGCATAAATTACGAAATTCAGTAACAAGGATTAAGACAGGAGATCCCTTACTCTCCGTCCATAAGCTCTTCCTTAAACCGAAGATATTCAGCAACACTCAAATGATCCACACTGAGTTCATACTCATTAACTCGAACATACTCCCAAACACCAGGTCTTGGACGAAGGGCAAAAGCCACGAAGGGAGCCAGAACAATTGCTTCCTAGATAACAAGCAAAGACCAAACTCAGAAAACCAGAACAGAAAATGCAACTTTCACTAGCCATGCAGAATGAAGATTTCAGCTTTCTTGGTCCCAAATAATGAAAATTTGTAACTTCAAATTGCAACATTTATTTGTCAATTTCTCAGCAAACAAACAGATACTAGAGCAACATCCTAAAAGGAAAAAAAAAAAAAAAAAAAAAAAAAAAAGTAGCAATAATTGTAGGAAATTGACCTGAGCAGACTGTAAGACTTTGCTGAAGGAGCTATCTTTGAGCTTCTGCATGCCTTCATCCTCCATGATCACGCTTTCGAGCTCGTTTATCATTTGATGGGGTTGCAGAATCCCATTTCCTCGAGCAACATACCTTCCAACACAACAAAACCTCAACTTTCTCAAAACCCCACTCAATTCCAACCCAAAGAACCCTCCATTTGAAATGCAATGTGAGGGAGAGAAAGATGTACCTGGAGAGAAGAGAAACGAGCTCATTGCGGTGAGCAGCGAGGGTTTCCTGAATGGTGTTGCGCATGGCTGAGGCCGGAGGCTCCGGCGAGACAAAAGAGGTTGACGGCGGAGCAAATCAGAAAAGGAAGAGATGTGAAAGCGAAGGTGAGGAGGAGACGAGGGGCGCAGAGCAAATATAAATAGGGAAAGAGGAAAGCAAGAGGGGAGGAAGGAAACAAAAACGGCCATTGTTTTGCTGGGATCAGAGAGAGAAGAGTGAAAGGATGATAAATGTGCAGGGGCACCTGGCGGGGTTTCAGCGGCTGCATGCATGCCTCTGGAGGAGTCCTGACGCTTCCTCCCTCGCGATTTGAAATCATAACGGAAGTTTTTGGCGTCGAGGCGGAGATCTCTATGGCTGTGAACTGGGCTGCATTTGGGCCTTATGAAATTACGGACTCTAAGGTAACTTTTGGGTTTGTCGGGTACTAAAAAACCACCCGAATCATTTGACCGGGAATAAAAACAAGATTTATATGCCTTGTGTAAAATTACCACAATTAAAATTAAAAGCTTACCGATATTTGGTGAGGGGCATTTGAGACAATTACCAACGTGTATTGATATCATATTTTTTTTTGGTAACGAAGAACTAAAAAGTTTTATGTAATTCAAAATTCAAAAAGGGAATTGCTATTAGTATTCCACAAATCTTATTTTGTACTCTAAATTTTCTATAATTAGAAGGAAAAATACACTTGTGAGGAGTGTAGAATGAGATTTTTGTAGTACTAATTACAGTTTTTCATAAAAATATGTTGTTCATGTCGGCATATACTCCGAGTAGTATGTAAAATTTGAGAAGCACAATTGTACTTTTCAATGTTTGAAAACATAAATCAAAATAATATGAAAGATTATTGGATCAAACTATAACTAGAATACCTAAACTAGCTACTTCCAATATATGGCTATGCTTATGCGATATACAGCCTTATTGTATATGATTGAATTAGTTATTTTAAATATAATATGGTTATGCTTATGCGAAAACTAAAATGAACCTCCAAGTTAGTTCAATTAACACTATAACTAAAACAAGCTTTCATGATCTCTCACCAACATCATTGATCAGTGTGTAATTTATGAGACGCATAGAGGACTATAATCTACAAAGAGAAGAATATGATGGCATACAACCTTGTGAATTTGAGATATAACATGAATCATGAGTTCTACTTTTTTAGAATGGATTGGAACTTTTTTTTATTTTTATTAATAATGTGATAAGGGTCACTAGGACTTGAATTGTTCGTAATAACTCTTTAACTAGTTTTGAGGTGCTTCACCACCCTGTGTTACCAAAATAAAAATGAAACCACTAATTTTTGCTCCATGTAAAGCATTTTTTTATAAATATCTATCCCCGACCATAATAGATAGATGAAGCAACACCTTGTATATATTTTAAAATTTAGTGCATGTCTCTTCTCTTTCAATATGAATGAGAATCCTCTCCGGATCCTATTTGTGAGGATTTCGAAGATCCTCTAATCACATCTATTCATCGTATACCATGCGATCAGAAATCATTGTAAATCTTTTTATTTAAAGTTAAATATAAACAGTACTTGACAAAAATTGATCGTACGATGTACAATGAACATATGTGATTGAAGGATTCTCGGAATCCTCACAAAAAGGATCCGGAGAGGATCCTCATTCCTTCAATAATCCACTTGCATGATTGAAACAGGACAATTCATGGGAGCTATTTTTTTGTTTTCAATTTTCAGTTTATATTTTCTAAAAACTAACCTTTAATTAATCGTAAGAACTTTTAAGAAACTCTTACTTTATTAAAAAATGAAAACTAATGAAATGGATTTGAAAATTTTGAATTTTAACGAAAATAACAAAATAAAAGGTAAAGTAAATAGTATCAGAATTGACTTTTTAGTGTAAAAATATGGTTTTTTTTATTAAAGTGAATAGTACCGGGAGCTTTTTGTTAAAGTTTTATATTAGAAACTTAATTAAACAGGTTGAGAGTATATACATCGATCATGCATATCCATAGCAGATATAAAGAAGCAGCAACAAACATCTGATAGCTTCTTTGTCATGCATGAGCTATCACCATGCTGCTCATTCACCTGGAGCATGTTTGACGCCAAATAAAATGCAACCAACTCCTAGATTATATGGAATCTACAGGGATGCAAGTGTGCCACTTTGAGCATGTTTAATACTGGGAAGGATAAGACTACTAAACAGATTCCGGAACCTAAAAAGCAGACTACGAGTTTGAGGCCTAAACCGAACCAATCCGGTTAAACAGCGATCCTAGTTGAGGCCTTATACTATGGTCCAGACAATTAAAATTCTAGGACCTCACTATATACGGTGTGGAGAGAATGAGCATGTATGCGAGTCCTCCTCCTTTTATGGACCAGTAAAGGGTGAAATCTTCGTGTGACTCGTTGCTATATAATGAGGAGCCTTAATTTCTACTAATAACATTAATAATCCTATTTGTTTGTTCCTAATTTCTAAGTTCTCTCATAAACATCTACTTTTTCTAATCCTTCTCCTAGTGAAAGTCATTCACTGTTTGTTTCTGATATTCCAAAGACGTGAAGAACTACCCAGAAAAAGGCAGGAGGTTATTTCAAATCCAGTAAATAAGGAGGATCAGCATGACAAGAAACCAGTAAGTTCTTGTTCAATTCCAAAGGACACGGATATATACAAAATTGAAGTTCCAGATCAAGATTGTTCCGCGTTCTTACGTGGTACAAGGCCGCACAGATACATGGAAACCACTATTTCTAATTAAGAAGCACGGGACTTTTTTCAAATCCATTTTTACCTTTTGCAGCATCATTTGAATAAAATAAAGGGAAAAAGTGAGATGCTAGTATAAAACATTAGTAATTAAGCTCTTCCAATAAAGTTGGGCACAGGGGAAGTAGCAGCTAGTTTATATACATGTACGGTTATGGATAAAACTAGAACAAAAACCCTAGCGGACTGTGTATGTATTTTCTAATTTTAATGTATGTGTCTTCCTCGTTTAATAAAGAAGTCAGTTTCTGGATTAGTGAGTAATGGAAACCAAGTTTTAACATCCATGTAACCACAAACCAAAACAAGGTTTACCACTTCTTTAATTTAGCAGTCAACAAGTCCAGTTAGATTTTTCAGTTTATTAGGTGACACCGTATCACCACGTCACTCGTGCTACTGCCATTGAAATCTGTCATCTGTTCTATATTTTTACAATTGGATTTAAAACCGAGTTTAACGTTTTCTAGGAATATAAAAGTAAACATAAAAAAGTCTGGAAATTTTAAATTCAATTCGGAAAACATTTTGATGTGCTTGAAAATTTTAAAGATTGAAGAATAGGAGGCATATCGATCATTCGCAAATAAAATCTTATAAAAATTCAAAGACTTGCATGTATGATGACAAGGAGAGTTGCATACCACAAAACCATTATCACACAGAATTGCAGGAAGGAGAAGAAACAGAAAAGGAGCGACGGCAGCAATGGAAGGCCGTTGGGTTGAAGGCTGGGGTCGACTATGGTGGGAGATTGTCGGCCTGCCACCGGGTGGAGAAATTTTTTATTGTAACGGAAATACGAGTGGTACACCATGTGTTTTTATGCAAGTGGTGGAAATTTTTATTTTTTAAGTTATTAACTTTTTAACACACATATCCAATCATTTGTATGATGACACGTGATGTACCATCTCGTGTATCAGTAACACTGAAAAATCTCTCCACAGGGTGGGCGGGGGTTCTTTTGCTTTGTTTTTTTTATTTTTTTTTTATTTTTATATATTTTTTTTTAAGGTATAAAATTGGTTAAAGTCCAGCTCTACAAATAAGGAAATACACAATGAATAGATGACAGATTTTCAATGGAAGTACCATGAGCAGACGTAGGGCTGGTTTGGTATTGCTATGCTTTGAAAAAAAGCTGCTTCTGCTGTGCTGTGAGAATAAGCAGCTGTGAAATAAAGCAGCAGAGTGTTTGGTAAACTTTTTTGTAAAAGTGCTTTTGAAAAAAAAAAAAGCAGTATTAGTGTGTTTGGTAAACTTTTATGTAAAACAGATGTGAAAAAAAGCCGGTTTTTCAAAGCTGGGTTTTGCAGCTTCTTGTTTTTGGCTTTTTTTCACCCAAAACTGTGAAAAAAAACTAAAGCTGAGTGTTTACCAAACACAAAAACAGCTCCCAGCTTTTTTTGATAGCAGCTTTTTTCAGAATCACCTCAGTACCAAACCAGGTCGTAGTATCACCTAATAATATCTCCAACTATAGCCCTGCCATCGAAATGACAATAGGCTTTAATATAGCAATCACTCAACGAAATAAAATCCAACGAAACTCGAAATTTAAATGAAGTTGTTTAGTTTGATCATTCGAATAGTTTGAGGGACTAACGAACAAATATTGACGATATTCATGACATGTTGAGAGTATTAATCTCAAATAGAAAAATTGAGGAACCTTATAAGTTTTTATAAGATTTTTTTTTTCTTCCAAAGGTAAGAGTTTTTATAAGGAGTTGAGTTACTCTATATTGTAAATTGATTTTATAGTGAACTTTTTAAATTTTCTTCACGACCTACCCTATTTGGATTGCGGTCATAGGAAAATAAAGGGAAAATAAAGATGATTGGTGTATTGGAAAGAATATGGACCTGGCATGGTTGTGTATTTTTTTTTTTGGAACTAATGATATTATCTACAATAAGGGAGTGGAAGTGGGCTTAGCATCACAATGAACTAACAATAATGTGGTTCAAATTCTCCTTCGGTGAGAATCGAACCTAAGACCTCTCACTTACAAGTGAAGAGGAATACCACTAAACCGTAGTACTAAGTGGAGGCATAGTCGTGTATTTGATTGCATAGACTTATTGAATTGCTAATATTTGGTTGACTAGTCATGCATAATTAGGATAATAAAAAAGAAAGGTAATGATAGAGAGACTAAATTAGGATTATTAATTAATTGTTAATAAATGTACTAATTATTATTAGTAACACATCATTTATTTTTTAAATTTTGTCTTTCTAGTATTATTCAGAAAGAAGATAAGATCATTTCTACTATTAAAAAAAAAAAAAAAAACCGTGATAAGTCGTCACCCATTTATCATTGACAGGCCCAAATATTAATCAAGCCTGATGATTAACCAACTTACTTTTTACATAAATGTTTAAAGAGATGGTAAACACCAAAATGCCGGCAAAAACACGACATCTTCATTTCAAGCACATATCCGAAACATAAAAGGGGACATGCAGATAAGAAAGAAAAACGGTATAGCATATTGCACATCAATGGTCAATTGGAGGAAATAGACCAGGGCGGATTGCAAGATTCATTTGGTGAAAAAAAAAATGATAACTCACCAAATTTAGGGCATATTATTGAAGCAAAAAATGAATGTAAACTTTAAATTTTTCTGTAGCCACTTAGTACCATGGTTTAGTGATATTTTCTTCACTTGTAAGTGAAACGTTTTAGATTTAATTTTGGTCAAAAGGTGAATTTGAACCACATTATTGCTAGCCTATTGTGAGGCTTAACCCACTCCCTCACCCATTAGTGTAAATAACATCATTTGTTCAAAAAAACAAAAAACTTTTATTCAAATTTGAAGGTAGAAGATGTGTCATGAAGAAAACATGTATTTTCAATGTCACATTCCAGCCCGGGATCAATAGCTCAACAAGTATGCCTGCACATGAGTCGGAACCACTTAAAGTGGTATGTACGACAGGACTGGATGTAAATAAATACGCTCAAATGCTACGATCACGTGAAGACTGTGCGAATGATCACGGCTCACCTACGAGTTAGAACCACCTATAGTAGTCTGTACAACAGGACTGTGCACCTAACTTGGATCCAAGGTGAGCGTATGGTGCGAGAGGTGAACATCATGTGAATGACTGTGTCCTGACCACGGGCGGAAGCACTAACACTAGGGTGCAATTTATGAGCTATAGATTCATCTCAGCATAATCATGCAACTCACATCCACAATCTATAAACTCACCTGGAACTTACCTGAGTGTCCGCAACGTCAAACATAAATATGTGCAACTACTAAATTCATATTCTAAATGTAAAACCTTTGGCATGGCATATATGTGGATTTTGCTATTTTGAATGTGGTTTCGATATATGTATGTACTCTATTTTTTGGGGAAACTATACATGTTTTATAGTGAGGGGTTACTACCTTTGATAAATGAAATGGTTTTTGAAAAACTTTGTTTTTGCCCACTCACGTTTTCTGTTTTTCGCCCCTCCAGGTTCTAGTAGCAAAGTTTCCATATCGACGAGGATTCGTGACATATCCCCGTACGGGTGGCTTCCTAATATGGTATAAGTCTTATCTTTCCTTACTGTACTTTACTTATGCTCTATAATCACGTGTGAAGTGGGTTCATTTTTGCTCACCAGCACACTCTAGTATTTAGGCACTATTAGGTTTAAATTTATCCACATTTTTCCACATCATCACACTTTATGGCTTTGTCACCTTTCAGGTGTCGGCCAACACAGCTCGATTCAGAGTCCTAGTGGACATTCCGGGTCGAGGTGTGTCATCCAATCCTAGCAAGGTGGAAGGGGTAAATGTGTGCACTGTCGTACAAACGCCTCGTATGGATCTTGTTTTCAATGGACTCCGATAACCAAACCGTAAAAAACACAAAAAACACTGAGAAAAAAAGAAAAAGAAAATACATACACAGAAACACAAAGAATAATAGTAGTTCGGCCAGACTTGCCTATGTTACTCAAACAATAATTTACTGGATATTTCACTATTTATCAAGGAAACCGTATATTGGTTTACAAGAAATTTCCGTTACTCTCAACTCTACGTCTAATTATTAACTATGAAAATCAAGCTAACCATTGATCAAGAATCAGAGAATGAAGAAAATGAAGCAAGAAACTTAGAGAAAAAGAAGAGCCTTGGACAAGCTTTTCATTTCAAAATGAGCTATTACAAGAATATCCAAAATAAAGGAATACAACAAATTTCTTAATGACCAAGAAACCCCTCATCCAGTCTAACTTAAGTTTCCAAATCTAATCCAAATAACTAATCTTTAAAGCCAAATCTATGTGTTTTAGCTGACATAGCATATACAGATGTAATGCTGCCATGTGGCTACACTTATCATTAATATATCTCAGTTCTCGCATTTTTTGAAGTGTCTCCCTTTATGCTACTAGTTTGAAGCCTAACCAGTTGGAGTTTGGCCCTTGGGAATACTCATAAATGAATGAAACCATGCTTTATTTGATTTAGTTCACATACGGTGAAAGAGTGCTTTTTGGCTTAACACCCTTAGTTTGGTGGTAATGCTCATCACACATACTTATTATTATTAGATAAATTTAATTTTTGAGATTTATGTCTATTTCTTACACAAATCTCAAAATTTAAACTCATTCAACAGTGATAATAAGATGATGAGCATTATCATTACTTGAGGACAGTAAACCCAGCTAATCAGTGAGAATCTGATTCACATGGGTCCGGTAACTGACTGATTGCCACCCTTTGATTAAGCTTTAAGAAATTGAAATTTTGAGATATTAATTAAAAACTTGAGGATGGATCGATGATGCTGATAAATGATATTCGAAAGAAGTAGAAACCGTACAGATTTTTCTTCATATTTTAGCTTTATTCCTTTCTTTACGACCCCAGCAGAGACTTGGAACAACCTGCATATTTGTGCGTTAGATTGGGTAGAGACCAACTCAATTATTAAATTGTTGGCTTATTAATCACACATGAACTATCAGACGAAGTAATTAAATATATACAAAAAACAAACCAAAGAAGATGCGTGGCACCAATTATAATTTATAAGGACCTTAATTAATACAGAGAATTATTATTAGTACTTTAAAAATCTCATTCCACACTCCAAACTTTTTATATTTGGAAAGAAAAATACACTTGTGAGGAGTGTAGAATTAGAGTGCTAATAACACTTCCCTTAATATATTTAGTTATATCTTCTAGACCCAAATAAAGGAGGAAAAAAGTTCTAAATTCTAAGGATGTTTGGTACTCTACTTGAATCTAACTTTTTAAATTCAAAAACAATTTTCAAGTTTTAGGCTTTGAAAACTTGATTGGTATGACTATTTTAAAAAACTGACTCAAGACGAACTAAAAAATATAGTCTATTATCTAAAAACACAAAAAGTGAGTTTTTAAACTTAAAATCACTCATTTCTTTTCTCTCCCTCCCCTCTCACTCCAAATCTATCTCTCTCTTTTCTTATTTCTCTCTCCTCATTCTCTTTTTTTTTTTTTCCCCTTTTTCGTTTCTCTTCCAATCCACTATCTTCATTTTTCCAGTTCTTTTTCTAATTTATCTTCCTCTCTATCTCCTCCGATTCTTTCACTTCTTGTTTTTTTTTTTCTCCATTCATCTCTTACTTTCTTTCCTCCTCTCTCCTCTGTCTCTCTTGGCCCTCTCTTTTTAAATCTCTTTGTCCAGTTTAAATTGTAAGATTCAAAAATTTTAAATCACATACCAAACAAGTTTTTGAGTCTTCAGAAAAAATTGTTTTCAAGAAAAATTCTTAAAAAATGTTTTGAGAAATTATTAAAATTTTCAAATAGGATACCAAACACACCCTCTCCTTTTGGCATACTTCTTTCCTGATGATCTTATATTAATTTGTTGCACTGAGGCATAAAAATCATATTATTCCTAACTTACCCCCTCCCTAATTAATGGCAGCTAGATGCTCCAGAAGCTCCCTTAATTTGAACATCGCTAAACTCTGTTTGTGGAGAGAATGATAAACAATGTCTGGCTACAACTTGGTTTGTGGAATTGATAAACATTGTTTGGCACCTAACATATAACGCATGTTAAAATTACATAGCACGTCTGTAAAAAATTACCCATGAAAAATACAATTCGAGAAATTTATGCATTAATTATAATTTGTTTATATGACATAATTAGTTTCCTTCGAGGTTCAGGGCCGAAAGGGTAAAGGAAGACCTAGGAAATTTTTGAAAGAGACTCTAAGAAAAGACTTAAGAGTACTTGGATCTAACGAAGAATATGACACGGAACCAAGCGCAATGACGTTCTACGATTTATATAGCCGACCCCACTTAGTGGAAAAATGTTTTGTTGTTGTTGCCGTCATCGTCTTGGCAAAGGCAAATCAAAAGGACACTTAACAAAAGTGAAGAACCTTACCTCCAATCCCTGAATTGAGCTAATCAAATACCAATTAAACTCTAACAACCTCAATTAAGCCGAAGAACATGAAAAGGATGTACTACCAAAGCCAATGGGATTATCATATAACTCTCAGACTCCGTGGATGGTTATTTGAAGGTTCTAGATTTTAGTTGGGAAGAAAATTGTTAAACAAAACAATCAAAATTTTAAGCCAACATTAAAAGCCAATAACGTATACAATTTTGAAATAATATACAGGGCAGGCAAAACATACAACTTTCGTATGAAATTCCATTAGAAAATCTTAGTGCAACACATACAACTTTCATATGAAATTCCATTAGACTGTATAATCCACTTAGATATGAAATATAATAATCTTCTAAAAGCATTCAATCAAGTGAAAATGAACATAAAAGCATTCAATCATCTGATTATTTTCTCTTCCAACTTGCTCAGCAACCAAACAGGAAATTGAATAGGTTGTCAACCAAGGTTAGAAAATGGCGTCATATTTTTTATTGCGCACCAACAGAAAAGGGTAAGCATTGTGTCTTCGGCACGTTGTGCTCAGTTTTACCAAACACGGGTCAAATAACGAAGAAACCAATTACCAATGAACAGGCTCTAATTCTGAACATTCTACAATCTCACTATCTTCACCAAGAAAGCAGTCTCTGACCGGCTTCCACATGAACCTTTGTTCATTACACCAACTTTCAGATCCACCATAACCTCAGCCTTTGTACAAAGAAAGCTAAATAACAAACAAATCAAACTCTCTGCCAAAACCAGAGTAGAAATCTCAAAATTTGTCACTCTACCTACCAAAACCACCCCAACTACTCAGATTACCAAATCCCAGTTCACAAATCTCACCCTAACAACATATTCACCATTACCCACTTCCCCAAATCACAAAGATCACCCACTCTACCAAAATCAAAACCCTAAGATCTCACCAACAAAAACAACCCACCAATTAAAAAATCACAGATTTGCAACCATTCCATCCCGAACTAAATCACAGATTTGCAATCAATTAAAAAAACATTGAGAGAGAGAGAGAGAGAGATGTGAAGGGACCTTCGGAATTGAGGAAAGGGTGAGGAATTCCGACGGAGGTTGGAGCGGAGGAAGAGCAGATGGGTGGGTAGTGGCAGCTGTCTTCCTTCGTCTTTGTCTTCGTCTAATGGAGTGGGAGAAAAGAGTGAGATGGAGTGAGAGAGAGGGCGAGATGAGCGAGTGGGACGAGAGAGACCGATCGAGTGGCTGCTGGACTCTTTTCTTCAATTGCACCCCCATTTTGTCCAATTTTTTTTTTTTTTTTGAAATGCGCTTATTTTCTTCAATTGCACCGTCAAAATTTTAACAATTTGCGCAATGCATGTATACATTATGACGTCGCGCAAAGACTTTTTGCGCAACGATCACACCGTAGCGTTGCACTAGTTATATATATATTTTAAATTTTATAAAATTTACTGAAAATGTGACTTTACTCTCTTCAAATTCATTTTTTTTTTTACATAAAACCCATAAAACTTTTTTTTTTCAAGCAAAAACCTAATCCAAACTACAATAATAAATTTAAAGATGCTTAATAAATATACATACCATTCAATTTTTTTAAGTCTTATACGTACAAAATAACTAAATTTAAAGCTACTTAATAAATATATATATATATATATATATATCATTTTGATGGGATACGCAATATACGAAACTAGTTTCAATGATCCAACCGTCAAACTTGTTTGTATAAATTTCGAGATCGCATGCGCAAAAAAAATCTCAAAAAATAAACATTTAGAGATCAAGTAATGGAATAAAACTTTTCGATGGTTATAAACAAAAATTCACGATTTAATGATTATTTTAACTCCGATTTTGATGATTTTTTTACAGCTACACTCATTGACCATATATGAATACAATGAATGAATTTGATCTTCAATTTAAAATATTTACATTATTGGATACCACAAAAGCTTATGTTATACTTAATGAAAGTATAAATAAACTCCCAAGTGTTAGTAAATCTATTGTTTTGATGAGATACGCATTCTACGAAACTAGTTTCAACGATCCAACCGTCAAACTTGTTTGTATAAATTTCGAGATCGCATGGTAAAAAGATCTCAAAAAATAAACATTTAGAGATCAAGTAATGGAATAAAACTTTTCGACGGTTATAAACAAAAATTCATGATTTAATGGTTATTTTAACTCCGATTTTGTTGATTTTTTACAGCTACACTCCTTGACCATATATGAATACAATGAATGAATTCGATCTTCAATTTAAAATATTTACATTATTGGATACCACAAAAGCTTAGGTTATACTTAATGAAAGTATAAATAAACTCCAAGTGTTAGTAAATCTATTGTTTTGATGAGATACACATTCTACGAAACTAGTTTCAACGATCAAACCGTCAAACTTGTTTGTATATACTTCGAGATAGCATACGCAAAAAATTGCAAAAAACAAACATTCAGAGATCAAGTAACAGGACAAAACTTTTTGACGGTTATAAACAAAAAATCACGATTTAACAGTTATTTTAACTCCGATTTTGGTGAATTTTTTACAGCTATACTCCTTCACCCTATATGAATACAATGAATGAATTCGATTTTCAATTTAAAATATTTACACTAGTGGATACCACAAAATCTTATGTTATACTTAATGAAAGTATAAATAAACTCAAGTAACGGGACAATACTTTTCGACGGTTATAAACGAAAAATCATGATTTAACGGTAGTTTTAATTTTGATTTTGATGATTTTTTACAGCTACACTCCTTGATCCTATATGAATATAATGAACTAATTTGATCGTTGATTTAAAATATTTACAGAAGTGAACCACAAAAACCCTTTGCGCGACGAAGTTTGTTTGTCGCGCAAACAGTCTTTGCGTAACGCATAGGTGGTGTGTTGCTCAAAGTGTGTTTGCGCAACGACCCAATTGTGATGTCGCGCAAGTTATAATTTTTTTTAAAAAAATATTATAAAATTTACTGAAAATGTGACTTTACTCCTTTGAAATTCATTTTTTTTACATAAAACATAATAATATATTTTTCTAACAAAAACCCGATCCGAACTACAATAATAAATTTAAAGCTACTTAATAAATTTATATACGATTCAATTTCTTAAGTGTTATAACAAAATAAATAAATTTAAAGCTACTTACTAAATTTATATATCATTGAACTTAATGTTATAAACGAAAATTCACGATTTAACAGTAGCTTTAACTTCGACTTTGATGATTTTTTAAAGCTACACTCCTTGATCCTATATGAATACAATGAATGAATTCGATCTTCAATTAAAAATATTTACACTAGTGGATACCACAAAATCTTATGTTATACTTAATGAAAAGTATAAATAAACTCTAAGTGTTAGTGAATCTATCGTTTTGATGGGATATGCATCCAACAAAATTAATTTCAACGATCCAACTGCAAAACTTGTTTGCATTTGCTTCGAGTTCGCACACGCCAAAAATCACAAAAAACAAACATTTAGAGATCAAGTAATGGGACAAAACTTTTTGACGGTTATAAACGAAAATTCACGATTTAACAGTTATTTTAACTCCGATTTTGATGATTTTTTTACAGCTACACTCCTTGATCTTATATGAATACAATGAATTAATTCGATTGTCAATTTAAAATATTTTACACAAGTGGATACCAAGAAATCTTATGTTAGACATAATGAAAGTATAAATAAACTCTAAGTGTTAGTGAATTTATCGTTTTGATGGGATACATATTTTACAAAATCAGCTTCAACGATCCAACCGTCAAACTTGTTTGTATATGCTTCGAGATAGCATACACCAAAAATCACAAAAAACAAACATTCAGAGATCAAGTAATGGGACAAAACTTTTCGAAGGTTATAAACAAAAAATCAAGGTTTAACGGTTATTTTAACTCCGATTTTGATGATTTTTTAGAGCTAGACTCCTTGATCCTATATGAATACAATGAACTAATTCAATCGTCAATTTAAAATATTTACACAAGTGGATACCACAAAATCTTATGTTATACCACAAAGTTGTTGACTTTGAGCAACGAAGGTGCGCATTCGTTGCGCAAAATAGCTTTGCGCGACGAAGGTGCATCTATGTCGCGCAAAGCTATTTTGCGCAACGACTGCACACCTTCATAACGCAAAGGACGTTTGCACGTCGTGGCCTGTGCATCGCACAAGATTTTGGTGTCAAACCAAGACTTTTACCCTTTTTTCACAACATTGCGTGACGAAGGTGTATGCTTTTGAACTTCTTTTTCTACTTTTAATTTCTTTTTACGAACGCAATGTTCTCTGATAAACATAACTATCTATTTCTAGGCCACCCCTTAAGATTAACTAATTTATAAAAAAAATCAACCAAATTAGAAATCATTTAACTGTTTGATCCCTAGACTCTAACTTCTAGTTTCAATGTTTAACTATAAAACATGATTCGTTCATTGATTTTATAACCATTAGATAACTCTTCTTTTTTTTTTTCTTTTTTTAAGATTTAGTTCATTTTTACAGAGATGACCTTAAAGGATGACCAAAAAATAAATGGTTCGGATCACAGTGCAACATTGGAGAATGAAAATGCAAAATGAAAGTCTAAAAGAAATTTATTTCAATCTATGACAATATCCAATAAGAGTGTCATTTTCCTAACTTATGTGACACTTTTATTCTACGTACTTTAAAGTTTGTCGCTCCAACCCACTCTTCAAGCACAACAACAACCAAGCCTTGTCACTAAGTAAGGTTGGCTGTATAAATCCTAGAGCGCTATTGTGTTTAGTTTTGTGCTATGTCTTCCGTTATCTCCAAGTACTCCATATATTTTCTTAAAATCTTTTTCCAAGTCTTCCTCTACCCCTTTTGCCTTAAGCCTTAGTCTCATAGTCACCTCTTCTAACCAGAGCATCTGTAGGTCTTAGGTTCATGTGTCCAAACCAATTTAACTGATTTTCTCTCATCTTATCTTTAATTACGGCAACTCTTCAAATTTATTTTTTCACCTTAAAATAATACTATCCTAAGTTTATCATATCTTGTAAAGCCCAAATTTTTATTTTTCAACTCTCTACTAAACAATACTTTTGATGGAAATTTATCTTCAATTTGCTAATTCAGTTGCTACTTTTGTTGGAGATAAAGTTGTTCTACATAACATAACAAATCTAACTTTGCTAACCATTACTACCCTTGGATTCTTGGAGATGCTCACTCATTTAATTTGTTGGGGTAGAATTCCCTAACATAATGAAGGGTCTTTCCTTTGAAAATCTTTGAGCACCCTTGTTATATATGGATTTTGTTGATGCACAAAATCAGTGAGACTTTGGAACAACGTAAAGTATTAAGTTTGTGACCTTCGCAAAGATTGCTTGGGTCACCTAGTGAGGATAATATGTAAAGAGATAGAGATAGAGAAGCAAACACAAGATGTACATAGTTCACCCTAAGTTGGGCTACGTCCACGAGAGTAGAGGAGTTCTCATTACTAATGAAGAGTTTACACAATACATAGGTTCAAGCATAATCATCAATAGTGAGTCCTAATGACGAGTTTAAGTATAATAATGGCATTAGGGAATAATGGTAGGAGAATAGTCTCTTTTTATAATTGAGGAGAGTCTCCGGCTTCCGTCCATGGTCGATGTGGACTTTAGAAGCTTTATTCTAATGTTGACATGTGTCGTATTGTGATTGGCCTCCTTGTTGGAGAGAAACTCTTGTGCTTTAGCATGGGTGCCTCACCACGAATCCTTTAGTGGGTCCCTAAGGGTATAAAGTTCACCCTTGTTCGATAGTTTCGAAATTGATAAAGTATAGTTCACCCTTGTTCGATAGTTTCGAAATTGATAAAGTATAGTACAAATAGATTTGCTTTGGTAAAGTTGTGATATTTATCATTTAATTATGGATGGAAATTAAGGAACACTAAATATGTTTCAACAATGCTTCATATTTTGATAAGCTTATATTTATATATATTTTACATCAAATTCACTTGTCTTTTCTTTGTTAGTTTCTTATATTTTTGAGCTATTAACTTTCTTTTTGTGTTTTGTGGGATTTGTCAGGCAAAGAAAAAAAAATAGCACAAGTGGAATTTTAAGTAACAAATTTGTCAAAACTGCCTGTGCAGATCAGCTGACTTTGGAAGCAAGTTTCGGACAACTCAAAATGAATTAGAGAATGAGCCTTATATGCTTGGAAAGCTATGGATGTCTATTTTCTGGAACATTTTGCGGATTGTTAATATCATTTTTCTAAAAGAAGTTATGTCCGTTTTAATACTAAAAGGTTCTCAAGAGGCTGAGCAGTTTGTAACTAACAAGAAAACATTGAAAGCAATAAATCCAATAACTCTAGTAGCCAAAACTGACGCAGCCAAGAACAATTCAACTGACACCTATTCAAATATCAGAGGAAATGGAAAATTAAATGGGAGTAATGGGCATAAAGGCTACCTAAAGAGTTACAATTGTTTTAC